TAGCCCTCGTGTAGCTTTGCGCGCAAATCATAACAAAAAAACAAAAATTCCGGGACGATACTTATTCAAGTTTTCCTTCTGTATAGATTTGTTTGTTTGTTGAATTTCGCGCTAAGGGTTGTCTTCTCTAGTCGTCCCTAGTTTTGAAGTGATAGACTAGAAATAAGGAAGCTAATCAATACCATCCACCGCCAACTCTTGAGCTACTATTGTCAGACTGAATAGTGGGAATTGACGAATTTGCAGACCCAAAGTGCGGAGAGCGATTTTTGTTGTTGTTTTTTTGTGCTAACGGGATGCAAACCACGGATCTTCAGATCCACAGTCCGGTACCATAGGAGGAGCTACAAGAAGAGGGCCGTGACTGAGGGGGAATACTCGCTTAGTACGAATTAGTTTTCCTTTTTAGAGATAAAACACGTGACACATGTTATCATTCATGACGTTTTTATTAATCAGTTGGGTTTACAATTTGGTGGGAAACTAACAATTTGACTTATTTTTAACATTTTCATCCTCATCCCTTCTCTTTCTTACTATCCGCAACTGTACAGGAACTGAGCTGTTATACATATTTCGGGACTTATCAACTTAACGAACAACTAACCACACAACACATTAGGAGTGTTTTTTTTTTTTTCGAGTTTTGTTTGGCATTACATTCAAATAATCTTTAAATTGTTAAACGGCTTGATAATATGATTTGGGATAACTATAAGATATCCACATATGTTATACGTAGGTTATAGTTATTTTTATTCGTGATATAATAATTATAGGATTAACCTCAATGTGTTTGTTAGTATGATTTGAGATAAATTTTCTCACCCAGTGAGCTATCATACCTTTCTTTTCACGTCCACAAAGGAGCTGAGATATATCTATACGTACCTAAATAAATACAGAGTTAGACGGCGAAATCCATTACTTCTGATAATCAGAATAGGCTGTTGACAAGTGATAATTATAAACTCAATTTCTAGTTGTGTGAGGATTTCATAACTAACAAAAGACAACTTCTCTACATTTTAAAGGAATTTGGATTTCTATCACTCAATCTACTTTCTGACTCGCTCCCCGATGGCTCAGAGGTAAGTTTGAAGGTTTATAGCAATGAAATTCCTGATTCGATCCCTGTTGTGGGCTCTAAGTATTGTTAAACTATGTGCTAAAACAGACAAGCGAATTGCCTGCCGGAACCAATTTCTGCATGTTTCCTGTGTTTATATACTGTTGGTAATTGGAGCTTCCTAATGTTATCCTTTACATAAAATCATCTAAATTGCATTTTTAGCAGTCGGTGGATATTCTACACTTCTCCCAATGGACACTTTATTAAATATTGGCTTATTTTATATCAAAACTTTGTGATTTATGAGTTAAGTCACTAGACTCGGCTAGGCCTAATGACAAGCCAGTACCAAACTGATTAGGCTAACAATCATTTAAGGGAACAACAGGTCTGGTCTGGACATGTTCAGTACGAACTACCGCATACACAGATAGAAAGTAATGTTAAAAATAATCCCTACTACTTTCAAAAGGTGAATATTCCTTGTTTAGGTTTCTTTAATTTATTGACCTTGTTGATACATATATATAGTCTTACATTGCAATAATACGGTAAGTTTAGGGCTTGTGTTAAATGTTTTGAAGTGTACGATGAAGTGAACGACAGCGGGATATTAAAGATTATACACAATCTTTCCTACTTCGAGTTTAGATATACGAACTATGTTTTTGTATTTGAAAATACCTATGTGCTAACTTTTTGTTGTGTTAATTTTGGTTTAACCTGGAACGTTACTCAAAAATGCCACTCGCCCTGGTGTGAAAACGTTGAATTAAAATCGTCAATAAGCATTCATTTCGCGATTAGATAATTTGTATAATCTAACTATTTCACAAGTATCAGCGTAGTACTTTGTCGTCAATTTTGTTTCAAGTGTTAGAATGTACTGCGAATATATTCTTTTTATCGCGTCCCAAAATATAACTCTTTCAAGCAATAATTGGGTTTAAAGCGACGAAGTTTCGCTTGAATTATAGAATACTATTCTTTATATCGCGTCCCAAAAGATAACTCTTTCAAGCAATAATTGGGTTTAAAGCGACGACGTTTCGCTTGAATTATAGAATATCATTCTTTATATCGCGTCCCAAATGATAACTCTTTCAAGCAATAATTGGGTTTAAAGCGACGAAGTTTCGCTTGAATTATAGAATTAGGCTAAAGTTAACCATAATGCACAGTTTTACGACAAAATCTGAAACGAAATCCAGGCATAAGTTAAGAGGGACAAACATCTCAGAAATAAGTGTGGTTTTTTTGAATATCATTTCCTATTCTAGTATAAAATCGACTTCGTTTTTCGCCTGAGTATGTACGTATGTACGTATGTATGTATGTATGTATGTACGTATGTATTTATGTATGTATGTATGTATGTACGTATGTATTTATGTATGTACGTATGTATGTATGTATGTATGTACGTATGTATGTATGTATGTACGTATGTATTTATTTATGTACGTATGTATGTATGTATGTACGTATGTATGCACGTATGTACGTATGTATGTACGTATGTATGTACGTATGTATGTATGTATGCACGTATGTATGTATGTACGTATGTATGTATGTATGCACGTATGTATGTATGTACGTATGTATGTACGTATGTATGTATGTACGTATGTATGTATGTATGCACGTATGTACGTATGTATGTATGTATGTATGTACGTATGTATGTATGTATGTATGTATGCACGTATGTATGTACGTATGTATGTATGCACGTATGTAC